TATGATTCTTTAGGGTCTTCATGAACGGTCTGCAACATACTTTGGTTAAAGTTCCTCAGTGGTTGTGTAAAACAAAACCCTTTTTACCTTGCTCTGTTCACAGCGACTCATTTTGGGGCATGTCCCTTTAAATGCTAATGAGCTCTGCTCACCCGCCCCTTTCTTCCATGGAAGAGCAAAGGCGATTTGCAAATAATCATAAAAAATGTAATGTGTTAGACTTACTTCTTCTGGAGGTGCAGCTGGATTACGAACAATGTGGGCGGGGCCTGAACAATATGACATCATACTGCTCAGAAAATCTACACGGCTTGATAATTGAGACTGTTTAAGATTTTGTGGGATTAAAAAAAGGAGTGAATGGATTTTTATCATTGTAGGGTGGTTGTGTCCACACACTGCTAACATACATTTATGTGCTTATTTATATTAATGTTCCTGTGGCTCAGTGGTAGAGCATTGCGTTAGCAGCGCAAAAGGTTGTGGGTTTGATTCCCAGGGAACACACATACTGGTGAATGCACTGTAAGTTGCTTTGGATAAAAGTGTCTGCTAAATGTGTAAATTATTATATGCAAACACCATGTAAAAGTGAATTTTGCATCCTATGTCTACTTTAAAACTGAAATATAATCTTATTTCAAGTGATGAAGGATTTCGTAAGTGTGACCGTAATCAGTGTTGAGTACTACTGTAAGGTTAACCCTGCCTGGTTTGAATGTTTGAAAATGATAAACAGTTGAAAACATTAGAAATTTAGAAAAGTAATCAAAAAGTAATCAAATGTAATCAGTTACATTACTTTAATAAAGTAATTGAAAAGTTACACTACTTATTACATTTTAAGTAGGGTAACTTGTCATCTTTAACCTATTAAATTTCCAAAGTAACCTTCCCAACACTGTGTATAAATCTCAATTTCGAAAAATTGACCCTTATGACTGGTTTTGTGGTCCAGGGTCACAAATGAACATTAGATAAAGCATTTGATCTTCACTCATCACCTGAGCATACTGGTCCTCATCAAGTCCTGCACGCTTGTGAACTTCTGTTATAATTACTCCTGGGCTATTAAAACAAAAGCATTTTGTATTACCTCAATGTAACAAGTCTGTGGCATGTAAAACAACAGAAATACACTTACCATACTGCATTGACACGTACTTGCTTTGATGCCAACTCTACAATTAAAATAAGACTACAAATAAAAAAACACTTGTTTTGTAGAGTAATAATACCCAATTCATGCATTCACCTTTGCATGAATTACAAATGGTAAAGGAGACCGGGGCTAGTTGTCACACTTTTTACTCCGGTACATTTCTCAGGGCAGGTTTATTTTTGAAATTCAATTTCTGCAAAAGGACATAAAATTGATTAAAAACTCTATTAATTTCTGCCATTAATGCGCCAATAGCAGAATCACTCTTCATTGGGTAAACTGGAATCACAATGGAATCTGCTATTAAACAGTCTATTATAGGCTTTTCAGCTAAAGTAAAACAGTGAAACAATACTAAAACCAAACAATTCAAAGCAAATGAAAGAGCAAAAATGTATAAGGCAATATGCCAAACCATTGTTCTGGCCAACAGATATTGTAATTAGTATATGTATATCTTACGTTTATCTTATAATATTGAATATGAAACACGTGTGACAACTTGCCCCAAAAGGAAATTTATAAAGCAAATACCCTTTTCTTGGGAATACAGTTCAACATTATAGTTAAAATCTACCTTCATTTGATAAAATAAAACTTGTGTTAACTGGACTTTTGATTCAAGACAACTTCCCTATGTGACAAATAGCTCTGGTCTCCTGTAAATAGCATTAGAGGCTCTTGAGATATCACCTTACCAAGAGTAACACAGCGTGTGAACTGGTCGATGGCTGATTTGGACATACAGTAGGCTAGTACACCAGGAAACTATAACAGACAAAAAAATGTGCAAGAAGATCAACCAGGACCTACAAGAATAAAACAATGAACAATTATTTAGTATTTGTTTTATGGCTCATTTGCTACTGATGTATAAACTCATCAAACTCACTGATCGCTGCCCATTCACACTGGACACACTCACAATCGAGCCTTTTGTTTTGATGAGATGTGGCACACAGAGATGAGTGAGATGATCTGAAAGAAAAGAGAAAGTGTCAAATCTTGTTTTCCTGTCCTTATAAAAACAAATACCCACATTTTTTTAATCCTTATCTATTGCACCCAGTGGGCTGCAAGGGCATGCTATGGATCCATGGAAAAGTAAAAAAAAAAAGGTGTAAAAAATTTAAATACAGTGTGAAAAAAAAGAAAAAATGTAGAAATAAAAATTTGATTAAAATAAGTAAATAAATGAATAGATAGATAAATAAATAATACATTTAACAGTTCGGTATAAGTAGGAAAAGATGTAATGTAACTTAAAAAAACATTTTCAAAAAACTGTTTATACATATTTATAATATTAATAGTATTTATATTTCATATTTATAGATAAAAACATAAACATACTATTTTACAGTATAAGTTGGGTCTTCATACAAGAAACTACATGTAATTTTACATTTTATGTTGTGGGATGGGAGTCCCTCATACGAGGATGTTCATATTTAAGTGTCTGCAGCATCTAAATGATTAAAAAACCCTGATCTGTTGAATCCAGTGCACATTCCCTAACTTAAACAAATTATATTTTACCTGCAGACATGAGCTTGTCAAACTGGGCCATATCTGTTGTCTCTATACTGCCCATAGCGAGGATTCCCAAGTAGGTATACAGGTGCATCTCAATAAATTAGAATGTCATACTCTATCGCTTTGTTCCAAGCAACGGGGGCGTCCCGGGGCTCGAAATTTGCAGGGTAGGAGGAGGTAGTGACGTTGGGTGTAACTAAAAAGGTGCCATTGTCCGGTGAGGTCCGGTTGGGGAGTTACGGAACAGTCTCATATCGCATAATCTTATTAACGGTTTATCTCCTGAACTGCATCTTTCTTTACCACGCTATTCAACGCCAATCCCGCCGTGCAGTCAATTTCACTGGTTAAGGTTAGGGTCAGGTGTGGGGTAGGTTTACGGGTTAGCATTTTTTGTAGTATAGTGTAGGAAATCAACACTTTAATTGACACAACCAATAAAAACTTTAGAATCAGCTGTGGGGCGGAGTTTGCACTGAAGTGGATTGGGGGGGAAAATTGTTCATGCGTGTCATGTGCCTGTCTGTCAATAGGAGGAAGCCACGCCCTATTTTGGAGCTCCCAACCCGTTTTGGAGTTCCCGCCTCCATTTGGAGATCTCCAGGCTGCAGGTATACCCTTCTCCGGATTTCAGTTATTTTATTTAAAATACAGGTGTGTTTGCTTATATTTCCGGGTCACTAATAATGATTTCAAAATTGTAGTCCTAATTTTCTGCCTTTCAAAATCGTAGTTCATACATAGAAAATGCAGAATAAATGCAAATTATATTGAAACCACTTCAGAAAACAATGAGAAATTCTATCAATTCATTGAAAATATTTATTTGTCTAAGTACAATGGCTTATTTATTATTATTATTTTAATTAAAAATACCATACATTTAAAACGCAATGCAAGATATTATGGGGAAAACAGAGTCAAGTCAGTGTGTACAAATTTATGAAACAGCACGAAACTAAAAAAAAAAAAAAAATTATATTTACAACACAAGGCATTATGAATGTTTCGCAATGAAATCAATCAACCAGCAAATGGGTTGGCATGGATAGTAACATCCTTAATATGGACATCATTAAGAGGACGGAAAGTCTTTTCATTCACAGGGACTTTCTCTAGTTCATCCAGAGTTTCTAGTCCATCTATAATTCTGTAACAGAGAATAAGCTTGTTACAATTCATTACCATCAATACAATTATAACAGAAAATCACAAGAAAAATTTTAAATAAAACACACTACCAAAAGGGAGGTCATTAACAACAACAACAACAATAAATAAATAAAATAAACATACTTTCCAAAAACCGTGTACTTCATGTCCAAGTGAGGCTGTTTTGCATATGTAAAGAAGAACTGTGATGCATTTGTGTTTGGTCCATTATTTGCCATTGCCACCACGCCCCGGACATTGTGCTACATTACACAGACATTAAAAGAAAGATCAAGTTAGATAAGACTAAAGAGATTTTTTAATTGCTGTGCAAGTCAGTTTGATCCAGACATGATTAACTTGAATACCAGATACTGGGGATGTTAAATATTCTTTTTGCACAGACTAGATGTTTAATAAGAGGTTTTCTTGCAACATAGGCTGATGTTGTAAGAAAAACACTGCAACGAAAAGCAGCAGCAACTTGAACCTTGCATACATCATCAATTCAAGTCATAAGCAACTGTGAAAGTTGATCCTCAAGTTTTCACTCTTGCAACTTTAATATTAAAATGCATGCCTTAAAATTCAAACTCATGTCTAACTTTAATACAAGTTTTCAAGTTCATGTTTTTTTTTTTTTAAGTATAATAATGTACAAAACATTATAATACTTCAATATCAATACATACTTTCAGATGTTCACTGAATTCATCTTCAAACTTTCTTCCCCAAATGCTGGTCCCTCCTTTGCCTGTACCTGAGGGAAAAAACGATTTTTATAAATCAACCAAATTCAAAGTAAAATTCAAAACATGAACCTAGCATTCACTCATTTTACAACTTTACGAGCTAAAAACTAAAGCTGAGAGACTTGGGTTTGAGGTAAGAAAAGAAATCCAGGATCAGTTACCTGTTGGGTCTCCAGTCTGAACCATAAAGCCCTTTATGTTTCGATGAAAAATACATCCATTGTAAAACCCACTAGCGCACAGTGCAATAAAATTCTATGGGGAAAATAAAAATTAGAATTAACGTATGAACAAAATTATATTGCCTATTGAATTTGTGTGCTGGAAACAAGTGCCTTACTTCACAGGTTTTCGGGGCCTTCTCACAAAACAACTCTATTTTGAAATCACCGAGTTCTGTGTGCAGAGTAACAGCCTGCGAGAAGACGAAAGAGTTCAGCTCATTAATATAGTACAATTACATCATTAATCATTAGATTAGTTCTTAATATAGAGTTCATAATTACTCAATTCGAATGCAAATAATTATCTCACACTGCTTAAAGGTAAGCCTACCACAGAATATCAAATATTTCACTAACTGTAATTTGGCCAGAGTAACGTTGTTACTCCACTACAATGCTAACATAAAACAGATAACGCGTTCAACTAATGTATTCTATACAATATATAAACTAAAATATAAGGATTAAAAACGGCTTTTCGTAAAGTTCAGCATTCATAGTAAAGCGCAATCTTACCATCTTCTAAAACACAATGCAGAAATGATATAGGTTGACACGGACACTACAGTCCAGCATTGCACACAAGGCCGCCTTCAGTGGGTGTTTCACTGAATAACATCCGACGCAACTCAATGACGCTGAAAACATTGGTTCCCATTAATCGTTCTTTATCATTGTAAAAAACGACCTTATCTCACTCTATCCATAAATAAGAGTCGTTTTAACAACAATAACAATAATTATAATAAAGTTGAGTGAATATTTTAAAATAACTTGTTACTACTGTACTCTTTACAACAGCATGTAAAGCTGACAAACTGAAAGCCACATATTTATTTATATAAATAATGGCATTCACTATAAAAAAAATTAAAATACAATCACTAAACTACTTCCAGTGGTTTTTATTGACACATTAAGAAAACCGAGTGTTTATTCACTCTGTATGGCTTGATATATTGTATGGGATTAACTTCATTTCTATTAAAATGTACATTTACTTTGCAAAACAAAACAAAAAAGAAATAAAAGGAAACAATAGTGGATTTATTGAATACAATAAAGTCCTCACCAATGAAGTCGTCAACCATAAATATATCATGGTTACAAAAATGTGAGCACTGGAGCCATAGTAACACTGGTCTCACTCACTCACTCACTCACTCACACACGCACGCACGCACGCACGCTCGCTCGGTCGCACGCACGCACACACTCACTCACTCACTCACTCACTCACAACACACACACACAAAAAGTTTGACAAGCTTTAAAAAGTTAAATGGCATTTACCTGAGTAACTTCTGAAATTCTATTAGCTTAGTTTCCAATGTGTGTGCGTATATATATATATATATATATATATATTTACATATACATACATAGAAGAAACAAACAAGCTTTCTTCTAAAATCCTACAGAGTTTCATATTTGAGGTAAAATAGTAAACATGCAACAACCTGTTCAATAATCGATCAACAGTAACGAGTTTGTTAACATAACAAATTGAATATGGCTATTACAATGGCGAGACAAAACAGCTGTTAATCCTACAGGAAGCAAACAAGTAACATGAAGTATTAACCTGCATCACACACTCAAAGTTATAATTCAGTCAATATCAAAACTGCATTGCACACATACCAACCACTACAACACTTCACTAAATACTTCTGATGTCTTCTTAAGCGTGCGCTGTCATGAGAACATGACATGAGTTTAAAGGGAACAGAAAACATTTAGTGCAAAGTTGAGAGTACTAGTCTACTTCAATGTGAATGTTCACATGTCTGTCAACTGAATACCTTTACAAAGGGTGAACTGTTCATTACGAATTATTATTCAAAGATAATGCTCAAGGCATTTCAAAGTGAGCAGACCGGTAAAAATAAGGTGCTGTATTTGTAAGGTATAATAAAAATCTTAGAAAACGTTATGGTAATAATACTAATACAGTAACAATACTAAAATGCATTTATACAAACAAAATACATGTCGATAATGATAGTCATTATCACTATCTATTAGTGTGCATTTTATAAATGTACTTTACCTTTGTTTTGCATCAACTAAATAAATACTGCAAACATGCACACATCAAAAATTATTTGTGCAATCATAAATACTCAGTTAACACACGTTATTAAACTTTCAATAAGGATTTTAAGATGACTGTAGACAATAGCAACTTACTATTGGGTGAAAGTTAATGAATATTGAATGATGCATGCTTATAAAGTCTTAAAAGTAAAATGATTCATGCAACAGAGATGACTTGCATTATCAGTATGTCAAAAAGACTGTACAGCATAATATTGTGCTGGGTAACATGTAATGCTTGTATAAACAAACGCTCAAAAGTTATCTAGTGCTCTCGAAGTTTTAGAATACATTGACCAGTTATTCACATATTAATGAGGAGCAATTTGAACAGTTTTGCCCAACAATTTCAAATAAACAAGTAGTATTTTAGCAGTAAACTGTAAAAACTGTAAACCCTAATCAGGTTGAATTTGAAATCTTCAACCGTACAGAGACATGGATTTAAGAATTGGCAATAGAAGAGTGATTTTACACACACAGTAACACTTACACAGTAACACTGGTATAAAATTTAGTCAAAATGTTTATAATACAATACAATATCTGTATAGTATTGTGTAAATTAAGGCAAAAATGAACAGCACCTTAATCCTGATGTAATATTTGGTCTGCTCACTCCTCAGTGTCTGTCAACAGAAATGCCATGGCTGTCGGTTATAATAAAACATGACATGCCATAATGTGAAATACTCCTTATGTCTTTCAGGAAACATTCTAATGAACCCTGAAATATTTAACAAACATATCATTTTGGATTGAATTCCTCTCCTCACACCATTTAAAATCTTCGCACAGGCAAATGCTCTCAGGTTCATGCATCCGCTTCAAGAAGCCTCTTTGTCAGTTCTCCACAGCTGCGCTTTGACCTCTGAAGGTAAAGTGTTGAAAATACTGTCCTCCACAATTAGGCCACTCCTCTTCAGCAATCTGCACTCCCCAAGTTCTACAGGAAGGCACTCCAGCCTGTTGCCCCTCAGCTCCAGCTGTGTCAGACTGGTGAGCTCCCCGAACCGTGAGGGTAGGGACTGCAGGCAGTTGTTTCCGAGGTTCAGTGTTCTCAATTTCTTACACCGAAACAATTCAGGGGGAAGAGCCTCAATCTATGGGGGAAAATGAAAGCAGAAAGCTGACAGAGATCAGAAAACTATGATGAGTGAAAGTACAATCAACATTACTCTTGGCAAAGAATGTACTACTTGCATCTCATTATAAGAGCAGTGGCACTTTTTCTTTGTCCAGCTATCTAGTAGTTCTTTTTTTTTAATAAACTGCTTTTAAAATAAATAAAAGTACAATTTGATCATCATGCAAGAAAGAGTAAACAACAACAAAATCTGCATCAGTGGCAATTACACAAGCTACATAAATAAAAAGTTTGTAGCAGTGGTATTATCATTAATAAAAACTAAAACGAACGCTAAAAAGTAATTATTGTTAACTTAAATTAGAAACTAAGCTAAAATACATTATGACTCCAAAACGAACCTAAATAAATAGTTTTGATACACAATATATTGTAAAACATGAAAACACTAGATACAAATGCAATGCTGTTAAACAGTTTTAAATTATACCAGGTAGAGCATTAACTTTGGCAGTCCTAAAAAATAAAATAAACAAATAATGATAAAATAACAATAATATCAAAGTACCAATAACAGATTAAAAACTTGAAAGAAAAATGTAACAAAGAAATAAAACAAAATTAAATCTCAAAACTGTATTCAGCCTGAACCTGACTTACCCGATTGGCAGTTACAGCAAGGTACTGAAGGTTCTGTAGAGTTCCTATTTCTGACGGGATGTCAGTCAGATTGTTATGGCTCAGATCGAGAAACTTCAGCTTCCGGCAGAAGAAGAGCTGGTATGGTATCTTCTCGATTTTGTTGCGGTTTAAATAAAGGCGCTCCAGGTTGACCAAGGTACCTATCTGAATAGGTATATATGCAATCTGATTATACCACAACTTTAGACAAACAAGTCGATGAAGATGCTGAAAACTAATGATCTCCTCAATGGTTTTCAGGTTGTTATCCTTAAGGTCAATCTCCTGTAAATTGTGCAGGCTGAAGATGGAATGAGGTATGCGCTCCAGATCACAGCGGACAAGCTCCAGCTCGGACAGGTTCACCATCTTCTTTAAGCTGTTGAGCACCATCAACTTGGTGCCTTCGTTGTTGATGGACAGCTTCTGGAGATGCATTCCAACATCCGTGACCACCTGAGGCAGTTTTGTAAGGTTACTTTTTAGTCTCAGAACCTTCAGTCGCTTTAGCTCTCGTAAACCGTCGATGACGATGTAGCGATTGTTGTCAGCACTGAGGTTCCCAGTAAGGTGCAACTCGCTTAGGTTCTTCAAGCTGTAGATCCACAGAGGAATCTCCTTTATGTCAGTGAACTTGATGTGCAACGATTTCAGGTGCTCTCTCAGAAACGCAAGAGCTGGAGCCTCTATTTTGGCTGGTGTGTGGTACAGCCACATCTCTCGGAGGTTCGTCAGCTGGGCAATGATTGGTGGGATGGTGACATCAGGGATGAGCTCAAGCTTCAGAACTTCCAACTCCGACAAGTCAAAGACCGTGTCTGGGATCCCACTGAGCATGAACAGATGGAGCTCCAGCTTCTCTTGGGAGTTTTTCGTGATCCTCTGCCGAAGCTTTTCCAAAGTCCATTCATTGTTGAGGTTCAGCTGGCGGAGTTTGTTCTCGCTCACCTCCGAGAGGAAGACCGCAAACCGTTTGGAGTAGAGGGGGTCGTACTGGTCAATCATATGCAGCATGAAGGCGAAGTCGTTTTTCACATCTGGGATGTCGCTGTAGCTGCTCTCCTCTCGGATTGACTCAAACGAGTACTTCTTGAGAGAGCGCCGTAGCATCCAGCTGAGGGTGTACACACATATCATCCCGTACACAATAACTAGACTAATGTAAAAGCAGGCTAAGATCTTGAAGAGAGTGGCCAGGGGATGGGCACAGTTGTACATGCGATAACCAGTGAGACTCTCGATGTCCACATTGCAGTCGACGCTGAACTGAATATTGTGGACATAGTAGCCGGTATAGCAAATAATAAGAATAAACTTAACAACTTTGATGATGGTCTGCCGGATGTATAGTCGGTAGACTATATCGCCTTCTTCCACATGAGTTCGAAACTTCTTCACCTTCTCAAACAATGCCTTCGCCTGTTCACCTTCCTTTTTGTCCAGGACACCAGTCTCAGAGTGGTCCATGATTCCTTGCTCAATACGAGATCTGGTTGTCGACAGCATGGGAACACTCGCCTCGACGTCTTCGCTCACATACGAAGCCTTCTTATCGAAGGAACCGTTAATTTTCACCAGAGCTTTGGTGTCGCTTTCCTCCACGACTGTTTCAGACAGAGCTCTTGTGGTCCAAGGCGAGTCAAAACACTTCAGTAGGATAGACACAAAATGTTCCAGTTTAGAGCTCGTCCAAGGGAACTTGAACCAGAAGTTGCTGCAAGCCAGAAAGATGAGCGTATGCAGCAGCACCAAATATGGGAAATATTTAGCAAAC